TACACTGAGCGATTCCAATTCAGATAACAGTTTGGTGAAGAGAAAAAACTTCCTGATCGCGAGGCCAAATGTGATAATTAGAATAGTGGTAGGTATCTTAACTACCGAATGTACGTGTAGTATAGAAGTCCGAATATGGACGAATGAAAATCGTATATTCTCGTATATCGCGGGGGTACCTCAATCGCATCGTAAAACAAAGGCATCTAAAAATACACTAAACAGAAGGAATAGAATAGAATCAATGTTCACAACATATGCGTGAAAATAGTCATTGCATCCTTGCGGGACGCATCCCTGGCATCCCAAACATGTGTTGACATTTTGTCCGGCGCCAACTTTTTAACACAATGTTTTACGCAGTATGTCCTTAGAAAAGCTCTACAATTCATACAGAGACACAGATCACTTGCCTCTGACGAAGACAAGTAACTGCTCCCTCAATCTCCAATGAGAAATTGCACAGATTGTACCTACACGTAAAGTTAGATGCCACAGATGAGTTCCTGCATGCGATTTGTAATTCGGCAGCAATAAAGTGTACAAGGTCCGTGGAACCTTGAATCGGGGGTCATTGTTGCGGGTGTCAAAAACGTACTCCGGAAAATGGTCGTAGTCAGATTCGGTCCCGAAAACAAGACGAAACTCATTAAGTTTGCATAAGAACCAATTGAATCTCACCTATCTAGGCAAGTAGAACGCAAATATCAACTGAGTTAGGCACTTCTATCGGTAGCATGGATAAGTGGGATAATCAGCGGCTTCCCTAACTCGTCTGCAGTGCACTTCCTTTGACATACTCCCGCACCTCAACAGACAACCGCAACTTTGCAACTTGCCGTGTGTCAGGTGGGGGCTAACGAGAAGACTTTATAAAAGGAACTTGCTTGTTGTGTGGTTGTGCTTCTGAAGGTAGGATCCCATCGTCAAGCAGCCCTTGTACTGACGTAGATAGAACCTCGTTAAGCACCCGCTGCTGGCTGAGCTGCCTGTCATAAAATAATCTATCTAACTTGCCTCCCGTGACGAATTCATCGGCCTTGGCATTGTCTAAATGAAGGTCTAATGCAACGGCAGAGCGTATAAAAATCAGCTTGTTCATCAAATATTCCATCGCTTCACAGATGGTTACATAGAGCCATGACATCTGTAACATATGAATACCTTGCCCAACGTTGACATTTAGTACCCTTAAATAGATAATAATAATAATAATAATAATGTTTATTCCCAACTTGTGGGTGGCATACCGTCTGGCATGATCATGGTTTTACAGTCAGAATGGAGCATGACTGAGGGATTTGTGGGGGTACGGATTACACAAAAGGAGGACAATGCCACAAACAGTGGGGAACTCTTGATGATATAGCAATAATAGGTTATCTCCCAACTTTTTGGGAAGAATGGTCATGAGGTTCGATTAGATCAAAAACAGTCAAGTGGCATGAACTAAAACCGAAAACCATTGCTGGCCATGAGTGACCTTGGGCGGTCAGGTTAATGGCCGGAGTCACAACGAGCAACAGTGGAGATGGCGATGGGTTGATTCAA